AGCAGCTCTTAATCAGATGATTTTAAGCTGCTGCTTCTTTTCATTAGGACACGCTGGTTTGGAGACAAATATGCTTTCATCCTGGTCTCATCATCCTGGACCGCAATCCAGTCATGGGCTGGTGCTGGGACCAATCAGGTTGCCAAGTCCAAGGTGGGGGCTGGGAGGGGAAGGTGCTGGGCATCAGTGTGGCGTCTGTAGCTGCAAGGAGGAAGGAGAAAGTGTAGATGAAGGCAATCCCAAGAGGCAACAGTGGGTAGAGAGGAAAGCGTCCTGAGTCTGGCCACCATTTGTAGAAGTGACACGTGAAAGTCAGACATTCCATAATCAGAATCTTTCCACACTTGGTAAAAGAGTCTGTGAATATGTTAGTCTATCATCCGAATGATTTATAGTATGTAATGCCAGCCCTCATTTATGTGAGGGAATTCAATCAAGGAGCTCAGACCCATAGACACAGCAATGTGTGAACTCTAATCATTGCTAGAGTTCTCAGCTGAACATCAAAACTTGAGTGTTTGTCCCCTTGGAATCTCATGTTAAAACTGAATTCCCATTGTAGTGATATTAAGTGGGTAGAAAATCCAACTACGTATGACATTTGAGAGGTGGGACTTTTGGGAGGTAATTAGGATTAGATGAGAACATGAGGGTGAAGCATTAATGTTTTAAAAGAGAAAAAGGAGAGAGCTGAGCTGGCATGCCCAGCCCCCTCATCATGTAATGCCCTGTGCCACCTCAGGACTGTGCAGTGAGTCACCACCATAAGAAGACCCTCGCCAGATGCAGCTTCTTGTCCTTGGACTTTCCAGCCTCCAAAACTGTAAGAAATAAATTTATTTTTTTTAATTAATTACCCAGTCTCAGGTATTCAGTTATGGCAAGAGAAAAAGGACTAAGACACCCTCCCTCCAGAAAAATTTACATCCAAGCACACATTTTTTACAGGCAATTTTGGGTGACGTCACAGATCATAAAACCATATGAAGCACTCTATCTTAGAATAATGCTGTACAACCCTTTTAGAAAATAATCCACATTTGAGAAATGTAAAAACCTCATACGCTCCCAATGTTAATTGCAAAAAGACCAAACAGTGTAGCTTTAAAAAAAAAATGAGCAAAGTGGTGAGATGAAGATGACAAAGCTTTTCCTAATGAAAAGGCCCACTTCCAATTCTTGCAAATGGCTGTCCTACAGAGGCATGGAACAGCAGACAGGGCAAAGGCTAAGCCCAAGCAGTAGGAGTAATTAATATCACATAGCATTGTAGGTTATTTCCTTCCTGACATGTGATCAGGTTTGATCCTTTCACAAGCCATAAGGGGGGTAGTCTGCATTTCATGTTTAACTTGCCATGGTCACACGGCTCATAGATTGATCCTGTGTCTTCCAACTTTTGATCCTATGCTCAGTCTAGTCTTTTTTCTCCTGGTATACCGTATCTTGTTGAATCTATCAAAGTTTGTGATACCAAAGTGACCAAAGTTCACATATAGCTAGAAGTTGATTCTGTCTCTGGAAAGAGACCTAGCAGGATAAGGAAGTTGGTGTGGTCCAATTGTCAATCAAATACCAGTCTATCAGCTTTTTCCAAAGAGCATTTTAAATTATTCTGTTATTTCTACAAACGAAATAAGAAATGTTGATTATAGAAGCAGTAACGATTAATTGTAATTGTTACAATGATCAATTATTAATATAACTGGAATTTTAAATAAGAGTACAAAACTGTCATTTTCCCTACTTTGGAACCTGATACACCCCTGTTGGAACATTGTGTCACTACCCTTTTCCAATCCAAGGACATAGAGTGATGGGCTATGTCCAACCCTGCAGCGGAGTCAAGAGAGGTGCAGGGAGGGAAGGCAGGGAGTGATTCCCTCTTGGCAAGGAAGCAGAGAATGGCCAGTGCTGTTGCTCTGAGATCCCAGATTCCTGCTATTATTACCAACCTGTCAATTTGCTTTTCTGAATATCTGAATCCAAGTAGAGATTCTTGGGCTTCTACTCACTTGTTGTTTCAGTGATAAAAATCGTGGAAAAAACAACAGAATAGAAACTCAAAAGTGCATTTTTTTGCTACAGAGTAGGTTTTCTAATGGATGGGATGGTCTACACTGCTTGCCCCACAGTGTGACCTTTGCCTTCTTGACATGTCTTTCTGCAGATGAGAAGAGGAAAGAGAACTAAATAAACCTCCCGCCTGCCCCTGTCATTCATCTAGATGAAAAAGTGTAATGAAAGGCTTTTATTTTATTTTGAGGATATGGAGGGCGTAATTTTTCCCTTGATAACATCAGACCTCCTGAACAGCTGCCTTCTTTTCCCAGTTTCACAACCACCAAAATTCCCTCATCTAGAATTGTGTTGGTGACCACTTGTGCAAAATGATGCTTCAGAGGGTATGGGGGACGTCTTACACACAGCCTACTGCTAATGAACAGATCTTTGTGCCAGACAAGTAGGTACTATAATTATTGCATTGATTTAGTTAGATACAATGCAATAATAATGCTGTAACAATGGTCTCCCAGATAAGATACCATGTTTTCTCTTAATGATGTGGCCTGAATATATCCCCCAAAGTTCCTTTGTGGGAAATTTGATCCTCTATGTGGCAGTGTTGGGAGGTAGGACCTAATGGGAGATGTTTGGGTCACAGGGGCACTGCCCTCATGCACGGATTAACATCGTTATCATAGGAGTAGGTTTGTTACTGCAGGAGTGGGTTCCTTATGAAAGGATGAGTTTGGCCCTTTTGTCTCCCTCTTGCCCTCTCTCGCCCTTCTGCCTTCTTCCATGAGATGATATAAACAAGAAGGTCCCTGGATCTTGAGCTTCCCAGCCTCCAGAAGCACAAGCCAAATAAGTTCCTGTTTATTGTAAATTACTCAGTCTGTGCTATACAACAGACTGAGACAGGTAACAAGGCAGTGATGAATGGTCCAAGGTGAGAGACTAGCTTACAAGTTTTTCCAACTAACGGGAAAAAGACAGAAAAGAGACATCTAATGTATCCTCATTTCTACTTACTTCCCACTGGATTAAACTTAGCCCCCTGGTCACAAACAGCTGCAAGGTAGACAAGAGGAGTCTGCAGATGGGTGTTCATGTTTCCAACAGCTAGAGGGGTTCCAGAAGGAACCATAGGAGGGTGAATACTGGAGAACAGTGAACCATCTCTTTCATATGGACTGTCTATAGCAGGCTGGCTTGGCTGGAGATCAGCATGTAATAAGGCCAACACTCAGGAATCATTTTACTTAACTGTCAGCCAGATATCCTAGTTAATTTTACTCTGTTCTGTGTTGACAGGTTGTCTTGCTGTCTCCTACCTGTTTCTCCCACCTAAGTCAACCCAGTTACCACTTACGGCTTCCTTAATGAATCCACCTGTAAATTCATAAATTAGTTTACACTTCAAGCAGTTGAACTCGTGCACTGCCCATACAGTTTTCAGATCATTACCTTCTGCCTAGGGCATCAACTGTTAATAATTTCTTGGCAATCTGTACTGACTACTGTTTGCTCCTATTGTGTCTTATTTAGTATCACACACTCAGAGATTGCCCATTGGTGAATCAGGACCAAGAGGGAGGCACCCCTTGGGCACCATGCTTCACTTGCATGGCTGTACCTCTGGAGTCTCCAGCTTCTGGTACCTGCCCTGCTTGCCTTGTATAGTGTAGCTGTGGTTGGGCCATTGTGTCCTGTCCCTGTGGCCTGAATTTTCCCCTCCAGTTCTTCTGGTGAAATGGATAAGAAGGCAGCAGTGAGCCAGTGCATCCATTACCCCTGTCAGGAGCTCTCCAAGCACCATTCCTTCTGACAAGTATGTAGCTGCTGGAGTTGAATACGTAATTGAAGAGGAGCTTGGAGAGGTCAAAGATCTTTGGGTATGTATTAAATGTATCTGCATTACTATATTGATCCTATGAGTTAAAGTTTACATTTTTAATTTTTCATTCACAAAAGCACTAGGAAACTGAGACAACATTGTTTTTTTCCAAGATTTCACAGTTGTGGAGCCAAAACCAGTGCTACTATTCATAATATCCACTTTTAACCTAAGAACCCTACTTCTAGGCGTCCATTCTAAAGAAGTAGTCACATATATAAACAAAGAGCTAAGCACAGAGCAGTTCATCCAGCATTGTTTATTGCAGCAAAACATTGGAAACTACCTAACTGTCCAACAGAAGGACAGGCATTAAGAACATTGTTTCTCAGATTTCAGCCACTCACAGTTTTTCTGCATTTACTTAGCACTCTTTGTAAATTCTGCCTTAAATGAATTGACTCTTCTTTACTTAGCTCATTCTAAGCAGTAATGTCCATGACATCATATATACATAGAGTAGCTAAATATTTTTCTCTGATATACATTAAAATGAATACAAAGCTATTAAATTAAAGGTATTTATCTGGGCTGGAAGCAGTGGGTCAGCTGAAATTCTAGCACTTTGGGGGGATTCCCCTAGTCAAGGGGGAAGATTGCTTGAGCTCAGGAGTTTGAGACTGCCCTGGACAACGTAATAAGACCCCATCTCTACTAGAAATAAAAATTTAAAAATTAGCTGTGTATGGTAGCATGTGCCTGTAGTCTTGGAAGGCTGAGGAGGAAGGAATTGCTTGAGTCCAGGAGTTTGAGGCTGCAATGAGCCATGACGGCACCACTACACTCTAGCCTGAGCAACAGGGCAAGACCCTGTCTCAAAAAACAAAAACAAAAACAAATGATATTTGTCTTCATACTAGCTAAAATAACCTTATAAACCATCAGTGATGCATAGACCCCAGGAATGATGAGGAAAGCATGATCTGTCCACACAGTGAAGTATTAGCCATTCATAATCTCCAGGTGGTGAAATTTCCTGCTATTTTCTGCTTTTTCTTTTTTTGCATTTTATATGTATGCATTGCTTGCAAACCAGGGGAAAAAAAGGTTTACTTTTAGGTCTTCAATTAAGTATGAATTTGGGGAGTTAACAAGCTAGACACTGTCCATAGCGCTGTGAACGTCAGGTAATGTGTGTGTGGAAGGTCAGCGCTGCTCCCAATAAGAAAGCTCCCCGATTGCTCATGCTCTTCCTGTCGCACGTTGGCTGCAGTAGTATCACACGGTTTCCCAGGGACCAAAGTGGGAAGAATCTGAATAAGCCCCTCTGAGGACAAACAGATGTCCAATAAGATATGGTGGCTTTGATTGGCCAGTCACTAGCTGAGACCTCCCTGAGACACCCTAAAAGCCAGCCCTTGAGGCATTTTCACAGGGTTCTCCATTTTTACAGATGGGACCTGGCCTGGCCTACTAAGATTCCTGACCCTCTGGAATCAGAAACAGATGGGGAATCGTGCGCTGCTCTCACACGTGAGAGCCACTGACCAACTCCGGTCTCACAGTGCCCTCACAGAAAAAGGAAGAATCAACTCAATGACAAACCAGCTTGACGGTTATGAAGGTGTGTGTGATCACTTATGGAAATAGGAATAATATTAATACATTAATAATAATTACCAAAAAAACTATTGTTACCAAGTGCAAGCAGAGAGAGGTGAAACGTGTGTTTGGTTAGAAACAGTGACCGCCAGAGAGGGTCCAAGCCCTGCAGTGAGCCGTGGGAATGAAAAGATGAATGACAGAGTCCTAGGCTCCAGGGAACTCCCACTACAGGGAGGGGAGGTAGCCAATCATTTTGTCTCCTGGAATTCTTAGCTAACATGACGTGAACATTGAGGTTTATAAAAGGCAATCTTTTAATAATCAGGTTTCCTCCAGTGAAAAATTTTTCTCATTCCTCCATGGATCCTTTTCTTTTAGTTCCTCCTTTTCTTCAGAACTTATTACAAGTTTTCCATCCTGATAGTAGGTAGCCAGCTGGCTCTGAATCAATTGTTGTAAGGAAAAATGCAAGAAATTTAATAAGGAGTTATTTTAATTGTATTGGTTGTTTCAAGTCAGTAACAATCACAGAGTCCAATAATCTTGACAGACACCTTAATGCAAGATGATGGTATTTAAAAATTTCATTATCATTTTGAAACAAGAGTTAGAATGTTTGAAAGTCAAATAAGTCACCTAGATCTGAGCCAGAGACTTCTCTGTCAAAAGCCTGTCTCCGGCTGCAAAAGACATAGGATCCTTAAAGAGAAATCCAACAAAAGGGGAGAGCCACAGAAGCTCATGCTCCTATGAAACTAGTTAGGGACCCTATCGCATCTTCAAATGCACACAGGTGCACACCCAGACTCCAACCCAGATAGTCTTACACAACCATCAGTCCTGACCCAAGCACTTCTAGGTGTCGATGGCTCTGGGAGTTCAAAGAAATGGCCCAGGACTGTTCCTGTCTGTAGGTCAGCATGGATTCCACCTCTGGCAAGGTGAAAATCTGGGCTTCTTCTGCATGGAAAGAATGCCTGGGGGGAGGTAGGGATACTATCTTTCTCTTGGATTCTGTCCTAATGCTGACCTTCAACTCAACTAACCTCAGGACAAAGCTGGACTTAACTCCCGGAACTGCCCAGCGGTACCTGTGGCCCTGGTCTTGGAGACATCTAGTACCCACACTCTCCTGTAACACTTTATGCTCTTCAACTGCAGTGGATGCCTCTACCTCAATTCTTTGACCCAGATCCAAGCGCATAGCTGAAGGCAGAGAAAAACAGGGAGGCAGAACTCTGAAGATATCCGCAATCTTCTGAAACAAACTAAAGAAGAATTTCGTGCCAGAGTGAGGTTTACATGTGACCCGGGAACAAAGAGTGCCCATGTCCCAAAGAGTAATGCTCTCACACTGTAACTATTGGCCTAGGGTGACCACATCACAAACCTGATATGGATGCTGGCTTGTCACAGGTATTTTCGTGTTTTAAGAATATGAGGAGCATCTCAATTTCTTTCAAAATCAAATTCTTCTTTCTGTGCAGATTATTTGAAAACTGTACCACAAGCCTGGAAAATAGTGATTGGACTGGATACAATAGAAGGTAAGGCCAGTAAGAGAGTTGAGGAAGGGCCAACATGCCACTCTCTCCCTCAAAATGAGATGAGTCTGCCATCACTAAGCAGGAAAAAGCCAAAATAGATTCAAGGTACACACTTATATTGCAGTACAATGTGTCAAAGTGGACCCAGTGCCTGACTTAAATCAGTATAAACATTCAAATAATGCAATCTCTAATCAAATGTAAAAAGAAGTTAAAGCCCTCTATTTTTTTATATGCAGGATGTGAAAATGAACAGACAGCAGTATCCATCAATGGAATTTATTTTTAGGAGAAAGATTTCTGTGGTTGAGCTGCTTGGATTCTAGCTAGAGATACACATTTTTAATGAATACTGCGGCGGAAACTGTCCCAACTCCCCCAGTACATTTGTCTTCTTCTTAGTAATAAAACTCATTAAGTTTTAGCAATGCATACGGCTCCCAGGTAAAAACAATAATAATAAGACATTAACCAGCCTCCTTTGCAATTAGGTATGACTAGATGTGTTAAATGAAGGGCAATGGACTGTGAGTAGGAGTGAAGTGTAAAACAGTTTATGGTCTCCCAGAAGAGGAAGTTCCTTCCCCTGTATTTGCTCCTGGCCCCTTCCCTTTGGTTAGAAATGGCAAAGATGCCGCCGCATCTGGGAGGGCGCAGATTGAGCATGACACTCACCCCTGGACTGTGACCACCAGAAAGAAACTCCATCCTACTCAATACACTATTTTAGAGTCTTTCCTAACAGCAGCTTAGATTATAACTTAACTAGTTAAAAGACACAATTTCCTAATAGCAGTACTCCTGTGTGGGAGGGTTGAGTAAAAAGGTCAGGAACTAATGATGAGTAGACAGGGAGCAACAGCAGCATGGGCACAAGTGATCCATGAAAGACGCTGCTAAGCTCAGCCTTGAAGCTTAATGAAGAGCGCGTAAGACTAAAAAGGGGCTGTGGATAAAACTCAGGGGGCTCTGTGAGCTCTTCTAAAGGGGTTGGCAAGAGGGGAGTCCTAGATGCGTGCATGGACCGATAGCGAACACAGAACAATGCACATAGCAGGCACCCAGCAAATGTCTGCGTGGGGTCCATGTGGGGTTCAGATGATCCCCCAAGCATGCAGGACACCATCCCATAGGCAGGTGTAAAGCAGCTGGTGGCATGCTGAAAGCAGTGCTTAAGGAAAGTCAACTTGGCAGAGGCCCTGTGCAATGGGATGGGAGTCCTGAAAAACATGAAAAAAACTAAGCAAAAATTTCTGAAGGCTAGGGTTATAGAGAGGACAGCCACATTATCATCCAAACTGGCACACGCTTGGGTGCTGTTAATAATTATGCTGGAACACCAGGCATGAAGTGGGGCTTTCTGGGCAAACCATGATGGATGGTTAACTTGGAAATAGATAACTTGAACGTCCTTCTCAGATTGTCTCCTGTGGTTTTCAATAACCCTTTTGACAGCCCGTGCCAAGAATTTTTCAATATGGACCCGATGCAGGATCCATCTGAGTGGCTGAATCTGTAGGCTTGGGTGCGTTTGACATTCTATGCTCCATTGTTGGGTGAGAAAAGTGAGTGTTTCTCAAGGATTTTTCCTCATCACTTGCTCCTCTTTTGTCTACAGAGGAAGTAAACTTGATTATTTTTTAATCACCTCCTTTTACCACCCTTTCTGGAGCAGTCGACTTGTTACCTTTGAAAAGCAACTGCAGCTAAAATTCTGTGTTTGCTTTTTTCTCTCCCCATTCTATTGATAGAAATAGACTAGAGTCCTTCCATTTGGCAAGAAAGAAAGATGAGGACAGTGCCACTGGGATTCCAGAGGCCAGGTGTAGGCTGGGAAGTGTGGATGACACTTGGAAAGGAGTTACCTGTGAAAAGAATGACGGCCATGCACGGTTCCCCTAATTCAACACAGAGTAATTTGGGGATTAATTCCACGGTTGAAATTTTTCACCCCCCTCTTTAAAGTATTCCACATTAACAAGCTTTCAGCACTGAATCCCCCAGAGATGTCTTGAAAGGGATTTACCTGGGTTCGCAGTTCGTGATTACACAGATGTTAGTAGCCTTAGCATTTTAGCAAACAAACTCACACACCCCTGTTCTCAGGTCTCTCTTAGAGGTAAATTCCAAGACAGGGAGGTAAACAAATCGCTCCCAGCTGGGGCTCCTGTGGATCAGCCTGCGCTGCCTCTGGTGGGTGTAAAGTCCTTGGGGAGGTTTCAGGATGAAGGGCAGGTGAAAACACGTTCCAGCTGCCGCCCAGGAGTCGAGTATTTACCTGTTGAAGCCCAACAGATTTAGACTCATGTTTATACCCTGTACGACCTAATGGGATTTTAATGCATTCCAGGGCTTCACAGCTGCCACCTACCCTCAGTCCAGAAAGGAAATCATTGTCATATAGAATGTAAGGGACGCAAGGCACCTGGTTTTGACCCAGATCAATCAGTCATTCTACAGTTGTAGAAGTGGGTCCTGGAAAACCAAGGAAGTGGCCCAAGTTTGCACAAGTAGTGGTGGTACCATGCTGTGGGCTTCACCAAGACTCAAGGTCTGAGCATGTCAGAAGAATCAGCCAGACTAGGGGTAGGGATGGGAAGTCAGGAGGTGAGGGAGAGCTCTCCAAAGAATCCAGGGGCATGCCACAATGCCAGGCAAGCAGGCGGTGACTTCAGCGACCACAGGCCACTCTGGTCCTGCTGCTGGCCAGGAAGTTAGCAATAGAGCAAAATGCCCATTATTGTTGATTCTTTCCTATTTAAAAACACAACTGATCATCACTCTCATCAGATTTGGGCCCTCACAGCCTGGGTGTAAGGGGGAAAGGCCCAGAGAAGTTGCTGCTTAGTTTGGTGACTTTAAGGGACCCGAACAGCCACTTTAATTTCATATCTACTGACTTTCCCTTCCTGCACGTGTCTCAAATATTATTCAGCCTTGTCTTTTAACCAAATGCCCAAACCAGAGGGTTCTGTCTCAGTGTCTGCCACACGGCATATATTAATACAAAAGTGTTGACTTGGGCAAAAATTCAAAATGATCACACAGATTAATACTCTGTTCAGAAACATACTTTTTTGTTACAACTCAGCTCTGCATTCCATGTAAAAAGAGAAAAGTGTAAGATCTACAGAGCAGGGTGGCCCCTGGGCTCTTATTTAAAAGGATACTTCTGTTTTAAGCCCTATATAGCTACACTGAGAGACCTCTTTTTCATCCTGAGGACGTGGGGCATCCGTGGGGGAGCCTCACAGAACCTGGTGGGGTTTGGGTGATGCCACACAGCAGTGACATCTCCATGCACATGTACCGGCATCATGGCATGCACAAACAGGTGTGCAGACACACACTATTATGCTTTATACTGCAACTTATGCAGACTTAGAAATTAACCTACAGCATAAGGAACAAACAGGCAGAGTGTGGGCGTGGTGGTTCATGCCTGTAATCCCAGCACTTTGGGAGGCCAAGGTGGGTGGATCATCAGAGGTCAGGAGTTCGAGACCTCGTGACTGAGGATGGTGAAACCTTATCTCTACATGTGAAACCCCGTCTCTAGTAAAAATACAAAATTTAGCCAGGTGTCGTAGTGTATGCCTATAATCCCAGCTACTCAGGAGGCTGTGGCAGGAGAATCACTTGAACCCAGGAGACGGAGGTTGCAGTGAGCCGAGATCACGCCACACATGCGGAAGAAGGACTGAGACAGTCTGGCTGCAGGAATTCTACCAACTAAGCCTAAAAGGAAATATGAGTCGAGCTGTGATGTTTTCATTGTCTGACAACAGAATATGCACATTATGAGAGATTCTTTTCTTAAAAACTAAACTTTCAGGTGGGACTTGACATGTTGGACTGAGATGGAAATAGTCCCATCTGCTGGATCAGCGCAGGGATCCTTGCTCACTTTGCCCATCCAGACCTCCACACTGGGGGGCTTGGAGAAAAGGCCTGGGTGTTTGAGACAGAAAACAGCACAATGGTACAGCTGCATACGTTATCCAGCAGCCTCCTCTGCCTCTGCACTCACCGACGTCTGTGGCCTTAGTAGCCCCACTGTGATGGCAACCTCAGAAAAATCGGGTCTGCATTTCTAAATCAAACGAGTTATGGTTCCTACACATACTGACTGTGCATTTTCTACAACCGACAATAATGACTATTAGCCAAATTATTTTTATGGCAAATAGAAATGGAGGAAAATGAAGACCAACTGAACCCTTGGGTACTAGTCATAGTTCTGGGTGGCAAATAACAGAAATTGATTCTGGATAAAGTAGTGAGAAAAAAAGGATTTCCTGGAAGGTTATTAGCTGTGAAATTACCAGGAATGCCAAGGGGCAAGCTTGTGAAATTAGCAGGAAGCAGGACCCTCTGGGTGGCTAAAGAGAGTCCATGACAGCATCCACAGAACCAGCCCATCCCAGAGATGGACTCCAGCCAGCTCCATGTCTTTGCATCTCCTTCTGTGTTCAGAATCTCATACAAGTCATCCAGCTGCCCAAAGCTGACCCCTGATCAACATGCCAGGGGAAGGAAGGGGTCACACCTGGCCTCTCAGCATTTTACAAATGGACACAGCACCCTGCCTACCACTAAGATTCATACATTGAGGGGAACTCCCTCTCCCTCTCATGCAACATACAGAACAGAACTCCAGATGCTGGCCAGTGAAGCAGTACCGTGAGCAGCAGTAATGACAAAACCTAACAGTTGTCCACTGCAGAAAGAACCAATGAAGTGTGTGTGTGTGCACGCATGTGCATACACAGGTGTGTGCATGGTTAGGGGATGGAGCTGGGAAATTGCCAGTGGAGCAGAGTACTGGAGTAGGAGGAACAGGGAAGGAGAGACAGAGAAAAGGGAGGAAAATAAAGGAAATGAAAGTCAGATACCAACGCTGTCTATCATTCTAAAATTTCCATATGCGATGTTTTTCAGATCAGGGAGTTGAGAACATCCAAGTATCTTCAAAACTGTGAATGGACCACACACTGAATCATGAGGAGTGGAGACACCACTGAGCACTCTCATTGTGCTGTAGTCACCTATTTGATGAAATGGTGGCATGACCATGAACTGCACATCTGCTGTAGGGCAGGGGTGTGGGCTTCAACGGCATGACTGTAAACAAAATCAAAGCCAATGCAGACACATTTCAAAAAATGTAAAGCCCTAATGTCCATCCACTTCCGGATATCATTTCACATCTGTCATATCTTTTCTACTTTTGAAGGCTATTGCAGTTTAAATCTTGTAAATTCTATCAAAGGAGATTCCTGGTATGGCCTTACGTGATATGAAGATTCAGCAGCCATATTTTACTTGTCCCAAGTGCAGAGCTATGTTTATTCTACATTGTTGCATCTTTCTGTAACATACATTTTGAGAGCTATCCAATGACAACCCATTGAGTGAACCAATTTTGCCCAGCTTCTGTCAAATAGATAGAAACTGAGAAAGAATGAAAGTGCACAATTAATCATAAATTTTCCTCCAAATATGTGAATAAGAAATTAAGCGCCATTTACAGATGCATCATCAAGGAGTATTACAAGAAACGTAGGCGTTGAGAAGCCACATGGCTCATTCGCCATCACACAGCAGAGGGAAGACAGGGCTGGAAACCACAGCCTCATGTCTGGATGTTACTTTTATGGCAGCTATAATTGTGATTATCTTTACTTCTTTGTCCCTGGTATTACACATTTCATCTTATAAAACATAAAAGTAATTTATAGAAATGTCTTGGAAGTGTTCCAAATACAGTCCAAACACAGGGGAGAGGGTGACTTAAGCTCCAGATAAAAGCCACTAAGACCTTCCCCATAGCCTCGCTATCTAGAGAGCTGGCCCTTCCTGGCCAAGTACTCCCACCTTGCTCACTAAGCACACGCCTTGTCCCTCCCTTCCCAGACTCTGATCAACACATCTGGAAAGCCTGTTTTCCCAAGTGAACCTGGTCTGACTCAGGAATCTTGACATTCCTCTCAAATGAAAGAGCGTATTGTTGAAAACTAGCTGCAGAGAGACAGACAGACAGGGATACAAACAGTGTCGTTGCGTGACATTTCACATCTAAGAATGTAGCTCAGCCCCGACAGACCGGGGGATGGGGGGATGTGGTGAGAAACTCCGTCCTTTCAAATTACTCCTTGATGTTCTAGAAGGTACAGATACAAGGTTTATCCCAATGCACAACTGATGTTTTGACTTGATGAGCACCCTGGGGCCTTTGCCACCTAGGAGGCCTTGAGCTTAGCCTCCAGAGAGGATATGAAGACGCCACTTTAGGTGCACCCTAGGCTCCCAAGGCCCACAGTCCTGGCTGAGATGCCCACTTTCCTCCTTCTTCTTTTCTCAATTTTTTATTTTAAAATAGGATTCCTTACCAGGCACAGAATCTCATGCCTGTAATCCAAGCACTTTGGGAGGCCAAGGGAGGAGGATTGCTTGATTCCAGGAGTTTAAGACCATGCTGAGCAATGTAGTGAGACCTTGTCTCCACAAAAACAAAAAAACAATTAGCCAGGCATGGTGCTGCATGCCTGTGGTTCTGGCTACTTGAGAAGCTAAGGTGGGAGGATTACTTGAGCCAAGGAGTTCAAGGCTTCAGTGAGCCCTGATCACACTATACTCCAGCTTGGGCAACAGAGCAAGGCCTTGCCTCCAAAAATATATATAATAAAATAATTTTTTAAAATGTCAGAGAATGGCATGCACAGATCGCCTTCAGGATTAAGTGTTCATGTCCGGGAATTCATTGAAAGATGGGGACCTAAGAGTGACCTGAGGAGTCCAGTGTTTCTAAAATGGGAATGCAGCCGGCGGCATGAAGAACAGAAGCATCAACACCATGGAGCCTGGGGTGTAGCCTGAGCTCAAGAGAGGCATCCCTGCTTTGCTCAGCCATCATCACAGCTTCCTGGTGGAGAGAAGGGATGGTTGAGGCCACTTGTCTACTGTGGTGCTTTTCACCAAGACCCCCATGCTTGCTACTGGCTCAGCTAATGTCCTAATTATTGACGGTCATTTTTGACACACACGTCATATGTGGGCAGCTGTGGAAGTAGGGGTGGAAGTAGGGAGTTCTTCTAAGATGTGCCTTGGCAGCTTCCACAGAAACAAAGGGCAAATGCTGCCTTCTCAGGAGGCCTAGAAAAGCATCTTCAGGCCTGGAGCCCTCTCCTGAGGCCAGGACGAAGGACGGACGCTCCTACTGCAAGTTTTTATGACATTGAGTTTGGATTTTCTTGGAAATAGATGCTCAGCACTACAAAGAAAAATTAGCACTGAGACAAAGGATCTTTCAGCAACACAATTTTTACTTCCTGGACTGCAGGAAGGGTACCCTCCATGGCCATCATGCCAATGCATAAGGAATAAATTTGTGTGTTGCTCTGGGACATAAAAGAAATCATACTTGTAATTACTTGTTCATTATGATGAACAAAGGAAAACACACTAATTTATTCCTTATGCATTTGGGATCGTCCTTGCTGCTGTGTCGGATCTCCATTGGCTGGAGCCAGACCTCACAATCTAAACTAAAACCCGATTGGCTAACAGCTTAAAACTTTTCTAAACAGGTAAAAGCAATGGAGAGCTGGGACATGCCTGTGAGCACATCCAGCACAGATATCTTGGTTAAAATACAAGGACATAGAATGTACTATGTGCCTGTCAGCATGGCATGTCTAACAGCTACATAGGATAGGGCTCACCAAAGTTATTAGCACACTTATTCTTCAACAAGAAAGGAAACTTTAAAAATGAAATTTTCTACTTCCCACAGATTTCTTTTTCTCCAGACTCATACTGAAACCCTTCCCCCAAGGGCTCTCAGCCCAACAAGATGCTAGAAACAAGGTTTGGACCCAGCTCCTCTAGCATTCTATTGGCCTGTTGAGTCGGAGCGGCCAGCACCATCGTTTGTGGAAGGAGCTCCTGGTGGTAGGGCTGTGTTAGAACCTGGAGGGAAGGAGCCCTCCACCTCACAAGCAAGAGTCTGAATCTCAGTAGATGAAGGAGATCCATGCAGTCATCACCAGGTGTCCTTCTCTGCGGCCTCAGTGATCCTCAGTGGAGCTTCCTGCAAAGGCAGGCACTGTACCGGAGCCTCCTCAGCAGGAGCTGAGCACATCAGGGGTCAAGCATAGGCTTTTAGCTTGGCCTGAGCTACTCACCTGTAGCCACTTAAACAGGAAAAAAACCTGACAACTCGTCACTAAAGCAGTATGTCAAAAAGCAATTTTGGTTGAAACGTAGTGATATACATGTTCTACAGGGCATATCAGAAACTGTGGCAGATACAGAAGTAAGGCCCCAAGCTGCTGCCCAGAGCAAGCTCTCAGACACCCGCTAAGCCCTCACCAAACCCTTTGAAGCAGGGCCAAAACCTGTGGCCAGACCCAGGAATTCTGGTCGTTCTTTGACAGAGGCCAGAAACCTGGCAAAGGTCATTAGTGCAGCCTCCATGGAAGGACAGAGGAGAATCTAAAAGCGACTTAGATTTGGATCTTTGGGAACAAATAAGTGCACCTCAGGTCTGGATGTAGCCATCTCTGATAGCACTGTTTTCTTTTTTTTTTCCCATTTATTTTATTGCATTTTAGGTTTTGGGGTACATGTGAAGAACATGCAAGATTGTTGCATAGGTACACACGTGGCAGTGTGAATTGCTGCCTTCCTCCCCATCACCTACATCTGGCATCTCTCCCCATGCTATCTCTCCCCAGCTCCACACCCCCCACCGTCCCGCCCCTATTTCCCCCCAACTGACCCCAGTGAGTAGTGCTCCCCTCCCTGTGTCCATGTGTTCTCATTGTTCAACACCAAGACTGTACGAAAGTTCTGGATAACTCTCCCTGCCCCCAGTGGCATCTCAGAGTAGCCTCGTGGACCGACTTGACCAGGTTACCAGGCCCCTGCCTCTGGCGCAGTCATCCTTCCCTCTGCCCCCAGGGCTCAGTCTTTCTCTCTCTCTCTCTCCTTCTTTCTCTCTCTCCAACTGCTGATTCCCTCTCTTCCTCTTTCTCCATCTTTCTCCCTCTCATCTTTCCTTCTCTCTCTCCACCTCTCTCTTCCTTTCACTCTCCGTGTTTTTCCCTCTCTCCTGTCTATCCTCCCTTCCCTCTCCTCCCCTCTGTCTCTCTCTTTCCCCTCTCCCGTCTCTGTGTGTGTCTCTCTCTCCCACTCACGTTTCTCCCCTCCCCCACCCTGCTCCCAGCTAATGTTTCCAGTTAATTGCCGTGTTGTTGGCCTCTCAGATTGGCATGCTTCAACAGCCCTTCCTGGGGCTCACATGACAGGTCCTGCATGTTAGTCACAGAGCGCTAAGAATGCCCCAGAGGAGTGGAGACCACAGACAGGATTATTCTCAGCTCTGACATGCAAGCCATAGCACTCAGCACTAAATAAACTTGGGAAATGTTCACAGAGCCGCAGTCTGTGTATAGCACTGCAGCCTCCAGGTCAGAATAATTACACACAGATTTGTAGCTTAGTTTACATTTAGAATATAGAGGGGACAAAATTCTTCACTTAAGATCTATTTTCAGTGTTGACCCAGGACTTAGATTTAGACTTAGGAGAGATGTGTCTGGGGCAGGAGGCTGTGTGCATGAGCACATACATGTGCACTTGGTGTTTTAAAGGCCTAGGGGACCTACCTGGCCTGTGAAATAGTCTCACCTCAGCCCTAAACGTATACTTGCTTCTATAATTAGAAGTTTATCACTTGGGCTTAAAAATGAAAGGTAAAGGTGTAGGTGGGGAGCAAGGAAGGCCTCTCTCCCACTGAGATATAAACACTCCTATTTCATCAGACACTTCTTTCTCAGAATAAAAGCATCCCACTGATCTTTTGCTGAGATTTGCTTTTCCCAGGAATGTCAACAGTCCAGGCCGCACACTTCATAGGTGAGACAACAGGCTCCATAAGCAGGAGTGGTCAGTCCAAGTCCAGCAGGTTTCTGAGGGGGAGCAGGTCTCCTGACACCCCCAGCAGGCATTTTCCATCACAGCGCATTGCACATGGATTTGACAACTCAATCAGAACATGCCACAGAGAAATACAATTTATAAACAATAATGCCTAGAAGTCGATTCATGAGGTAGGAATATCACTAAAATTGGGTAGTTCAAAAGAGTGCAGAGGATTTCCAGGCTCTGGTAGCAGAATGGCAGCTCCTATCAGACTAAATGTCTTGTGGGTAACAACTGTAAACACTAGTCAAAATAGTTTTAAAAAACAACTATCTGGAGGCACTGGAGCAAAGCAGGCAGAAGTGAGGGGAGTCCACACTTGGAGGAAGCCATCACGCTGGAGAGACAGTGTTTGGAGTTTCAGTCCAGCCTAGTTAACTGTCTGCTAAAATAGAAATTCAATACTCTGCAAAGGAATATACTTAATTCAGAATCTCTACAACAAATAACTTGCAACATCCTGAACTAGATACAAAATCAGACATTTGAAGAAACTCAAGGGGGGGTTTCAATGAAGATGGACTCAGAATCACCTAGATGTTGTAATGAACAGACAAGGATTTTTAAGCTCAGCTCTGGGAGATAAAGGAAATCATACTTGTAATTAATGAAGAACTAAGAAAGCACAACCAAATGGAAATACAAGACCTGAAAATACAATATCTAAAATGAAAATTTTACTAAATGGGCATAACAGGCAAGTGCAGAGGTCAGGAACATTCAGTGAACTGGAACATCGATGTATAGAAATTAACCAGTTTGAAAAGCAAAGAGAAAAAGGATGGAAAGAAAGCAAGCGAAGCCTCAGCAACAAAACCAAAAGCTCTCAAATAGATGCAGTGAGGGCGATTAGAGTTCTAGAAGCAACGGATAGAAAGAATGGCACAGAGTGTTTGAAAAGTCATGGCCAAATATTTTCCAAGTTTGGTGAGACATAAATTCACATATTCAAGAAACTCAAAAGAATATAAAAACTTTAGAGTGATAAATTATAGGACATCCCTATTAAATATTTATTAATACTTCTTTCTTGCTCTGTGTATCATTAGAACAGACGATTCTGTGATTGTTTCAATGTCTTATTGCTTCTAATTAGACTTGAGATTATCGCGATAACCAACTTTCCCTCGCATTCTCATCCTTCTTCTTGTTCTCATAGAATATGATCAGAATGCTTCATTTTAGAGCACAGCTGCTTCGAAATTATTTTCATTGAACATTTAAGAATGTTTAAGTCTATATTTTTAATTGATACATAGTAATTGTACATATTTACAGGATACAGTGTGATACTTTGATACATGTACACAATGTATAATGATCAAATCAGGGTCATTAGCAGTTTGTCACCTCAAATCCTCATCGTTTGTGTTTGTAACATTCAAAATCCTCTCTTCTAGCTATTTGAAAAAATAGAATAAATGGTTGTTTACTATAGTTATCCTGCAGTGCTGTAGAACGCTAGAATTTATTCCTCCTCCTTGGCTGTGATTTTGTATTCGTTAACCAGCTTCTCCCTATCCAGTCTCCCCTGCTACCCTTCCCAGCCTCTAGTAACCACTAGTCTACTCTCTGCTCCTATACTTTCAACTTTTTAGGCTTCCACATATGAATGAGAATATGCTGTATTTGTCTTTCTGTGTCTGCCCTATTTTGCTTAACATAATGTCCTCCAAGCTCATCCATGTTACCATACATGAGGGGGTTTCTGCATTTGGTGAATAGTATTCCATTGTATATATGCATCGTATTTTCTGTATCCATTCATCTGTTATAGTCATTTAGGTTGATTTTGTATTTTGGCTATTGTGAATACTGCTACAATAAACATGTAAATGCAAATGTCTCCTCCACATGTTGATTTCTTTTCCTTTGGACTGAAAAGAAATCCAAATCCATACTGGGTATATATCCAGTAGGGGGATTGCTAGATCATCTGTTAGTCCAATTTACAGCTTTTTAAGGAACCTCCATACAGTTTTTCATAATGTTTTCTTTTTTTTCTGCATCTTCACCAGCATTTGTTATTTTTTGTCCTTTTTTTAATCTTAACTGGGGTGAGATATGTTATTGTGGTTTTAATATGAATTTCCCTGATGGTTAGTGATGTTGAGTATTTCATATACTTATTGGCTATTTGTACAACTTATTTTGAGAAATGTCTACCTGGCTCCTTTGCCCACATTTTAATCAAGTTATTATTATTATTATTTTGCTGTTGAGTTGTTTGAATTTTTTGTATGTTCTGAATATTAATCCCTTATCAAATAAATAGTTTACAAATAGTTTCTCCCATTCTCCAGCTGTCTCTTCTCTCTTTTGATTTTTTCCTTTGCTGTGCGGAAGCTTCTTAGTTTAATATAATCTCATTTGCCTATTTTTATTTTTGTTGCCTGTGCTTTTGAGGTCTTAACAAAGACGAGACTATTGTTTCCCCAGTGTATGTTCCTGGTATCTTTGTTGAAAATCAGCTGGATGTGAAT